TATGATAGCATGCTTATCTCCGATATCTTCTGCTTCTGAATCAGTAACTTCCAAAATTATTTTAACTACTTTTTTTTACTTTCAATATCAATGTCACTGTCACTGCTTTTAAATATCTTCTTAGAGTCTTTAACTACTAGGTTTTTCGAAAATGCTCTTCTACAGAGAGCTGAAATTGTCCAGGATAATAATATTGATATGTATGGCCAATCCTGACACAAAACTGTTTCTAAAACCCTGGAAACTCCTGCTATTATACCAACTATTATATAATATACTGATACTAATGTGGAAAATCTTTCTATAACCAATGCTTTTGCTGTGCACAATTCTATTTTTTTCCTAAATGCTTTATCTTGATTTTCACTCACTTTCATAGTATAAAATCCAACAGGTCTATATTCTGGTGAAGTTGATGTTCCTTTTATTACAAAATATTTAGGTAGAAGCCAGAATATACATCGTGATAATTCATCACCTCCTATGTTAATGGCTGCAAATACTCCTATAAATGGGCAACTGAGACATCGAAATAACCATATTAACTTATACCTCAACTTATTTGACGGTGATGCACCTACAATAGTGATAGCTAGTAGACAACCAACTACATACTGAGGAATTGGTTCTAGTAAAGTACGTATGAGCTTCAGAAACCCTGTCACCATTTAATCAGGAGTGCTGAAAAAAATATTTTTGGGCAATAAAAGTTTATATTAAAGCTTTAACTTTTCGTATACTGTATATAAATATTATGTTACCTACTTTCTAATAACTATATAAATATCTGAAATTGGGTTGCGAAGCTTGCAGGTGTAAAAATTTTAAATTTCTGCAATTAAAAATTAAAGAGCATACGCTGATTCCGCACTAAAGTTGCAATAGATTTTGATTAAATATTTATGTATTCAGGTAAATATTTATAATCTGCAAGTAGAATTTTATTTTTTAGTCACAGTCAGCAACTGATTTAAGATTAAATTTTAGATACTGGCTATATATACTTTCTATAAATTATATTCTGTATATTATCTTTATGCGATCCAATGTGGTATTTGTTTACATTATTTCAATTTCACAGTGATAATGATGATAATCAAGTTTTTGATAGAATTTTTGCATCATTGCAAATATTTTTTTACTCATCAGAATCAATATCGTTGAACCAATAAGAGCTGTCTATATGTTGCACTTAGTTTTCATCTTATTGCGTTTTATGAAGATAATTCTAAATTTAGATTGTTAGTGAAGCAACAGGTCATAACTAGTACCACACAAAATTTTAAAATTTAGAAACTTTATTTTAACTTTATTTATTAGAAAATTCTTTAATGAGTCTAAATTCGTTTGTTTATTTACAAACAATATACAAATTTTACTTTAATAAAAAATACTTGATCATTATTTTATTTATATATCATAGATTATCAAGGCATTTGCATTATTTATTCGTTTTTAGTTAGATATAATCACACAATTTTTAATATCCAAAATGCCACTTTTCTATTTCTATTATACATGACTAGTTTTGGTTTCGAGATATATAAATTATTCTCTTTAAAATGTAGATTTTCTCTAAATACAATTTTTTCTACCTTAAAAATTTCTTTGTACAGTTTTTGTTTTTATCGAAATGCTGTAGATCATATCCGAAATAGTTTATTATCAGACATGAAATGTGGTTGCACTTTTACTCGCGATCTGCCACATTTCCTTTTTAACTAAAGCAGAAAAGTTTTCAACAAAAAATTTTATATTATATGCACAGATGATCAGATCTATTTACGCACACCCCAAAATTTTTTATAGAATTCAGATTGTATTTATAAATCTCTTAAACTTAGTCAACTTCACATCAAAAATATATATAGAAGTATTCATAACTTTATACTTTATTTCTGATAATTTCTAATATATATGGCTATATTTATTCATACGCTTGTTTATATATGTCGTACCCAGGTTGGAATCGTCCCGATCCAGAATCAGGCTGTCTCGGATAGGAATCTTGTGAATTGTTTTGACAGAATTAAGACTTTAGGGTTAGTATTAAGGTTAAAATTGGGGTTTATAATAAACATTTTTTAATTTTGGCTAGTATAATTCGGGCCAAAATTACAAAATTCTTATCCAGGACTGTCCTGAAACAGATTCTAATTCGGGTATAACAAATATGTACAGATTGCTAATTATTACTGCTCAATCAAATGATTTTATTTACTGTAAACTAGGTTAACAGGAACTATTAATGCCCAGAGCAAATTATATATTATTCCCTAGTTCTTATTTATACTTCTATACTATCTTTTCACGTTTATTGCCCAGATTTCAAATTCGGGCTGATCCGGTTTGATTATATATCTTTTTTTACTTTTTTAATGATATTTGAATTTTTAAACTATTAATGTTAACATTACTACCGAAAAGTAAAAGTTGTTGGTTAAAAAAAAAAAGAAGTTTTATGATTATAGTAAAGCTAAACTTTATGAAATGCACAACTTTAATTTTAAAAGATAGTATAGAAGTATAATAAGAATCTGGAAATAAATCAGTTATTATCCATGAAGTAGATATAACTAAAAATCATACCCAGATCTGATCATCAGATCTGGGTATGATTTTTAGTTATTGCTCACTTACGTGGACAATAACATATATGTACTGTATATAATATATTATCTGACATGTCCTATGTATGCACTGTATGTTTGTATATATTATTCGATCACTTTCTAAACATGTGATAACTCATTATTTGATCACTTTTCTGATTTTATTTTTTCTTGCGTAGGAAGCTGTAAAACTTGTATAAAACTCATAATATGAAAGTTAAGAAAAAAATTAAGTGAAGAAAAAAAAAGCAAAGATAAAAAGAAAAAAAATGGCAAGCGAAAATGAAAAGTAAACAAAAATAAAGAAAAATGAGTTAAATGTTTAGAAAACTTGAATAATGTATACGAAAAATGACAGTGCTTACGTCATACATTACGGATAAAAATGTTATCAGTTAAATGTAATGAAAACTGATTATTTGTAAGGAACAATATAAATAACATAGAGAATTCACGTGATTATATAGTATAAATTAGCTATAATCCACAATCTAACCAATAACAAGTACTTATTAAATATATAAAAATATATATTAAAAAAAAGAAAATTATTTCTTGTTATCTGGCATGATGTGACAGAAACATGGGCACTCAGCAGGATGATAGCAAAAGCACGTGGCCTTCGACTATATGCGTTGCTATCATCCTGTTGATAGGGATGTTAATCGGTCCTGCAGTAATTGTCAACTGACTTTGAGAAAGATTTGTAAAAAATTAAAAATTTTAACTAGTATTCGTTCAATAAGTAAGTAAAATTATAGAAAAATTATTTCTCTATAACAGTCTCTAATAAAAGTTTATCGGCTTTTGCATTAGTTTTTGAGTAATCTAGATGGACCGATTAGGGACCGATCAACAAAATTTTCTCCACACTGTTCGATCCCTAATCGGCTTCATCTAAATTACTCAAAAACTAATGCAAAAACCGATAAACTTTTATTAGACTTTTATAGAGAAATTATTGAATGAATACTAGATAAAAATATCAATTTTCTATATGCCTTGTTCAAAGTCAACTAATAATTACTGTGGGACTGATTAATATCCCTATCTGTCAAATACCCATGATTCCGATACTTCATGCCAGATAACTAGATTATCTGGCAGATATGATGTATACACTGATGGAACCATATTATTGCCAAATAAACTCTCTTTGATTAATAATAAGCATTGATAATTCGAATGATGATAAAGAAGCGATTGTGTTTTGATCCAACTCTTTCTTTAATACTTCAATGTCACATAATAAACTACAGTCAACTCTGTTTATAACGAACTGACGAGTCTTATAGTAAAAATTTTTAAAAAGTTCATTATATAGTAATTTA